TTTTCAAAGTAGAATCGATGAAAGTCCATCCCTTCCACTAAATTACCCAAAGCTTCAGGTTCAAAAGCAGTAAGGCCTGGGTCACAGATTTTTCTGGAGGAAGAAAAGTAATGAAAATAACCAATAAATGAATGCTTTAATACATTTTGTTGTTTCTTGTGTAAACATTTTTATTTATCAGTCAATGAAGGAAAGAGCCTCTAAAAAAAACATTAAAAACATAAAATTTCTATCTTAGACCTTGGCAAGGTGGGTTGAGGACTCTAAAAAGGCATTTTGCAGAGAACACTGACAGGACAAACTAATTCAACCAGTTCAAGCAGATGATAATCTACAATGTTTTAGGAATCTCCTTTTTAAAATTTGTACTTTTTTTATTTCCAAGGTGAACTCTCCAGTTTTCCCCAGTTTTTCTAACTCTTGACCTAGGTTTATTACTTTTTAAAAATGTTCTCCAAGTCCTACAATCCAAGTCTAAGGCACTCTCCAGATCTGATAAAACCATTTTTGGTTCAGAAATGAAATATTTTTGGAATAATTTTTGATGTCCCCCAGCTTCTGTGTGCGTGTCAAACATCTCTATGCTAACTGAGCTGAAGGAAGGCATCACATCCTGTACTTCCTGGCAATGTCCACAATCATTAAGCTGCGTTTAATTTTAAAATAAAATGAACAGAAGGTTCGAATGCACATATAATAAGTTTTCTTTTTAATCCTAAAAGTCAGATTCAGCAAAGGGGTGCACAATTTGAAAAATCCTGAGAAATCCAATGGGCTTTCTTCGGAGAAATTTAGTCAGTAAAGAATTGTTAAACACCTACGCTGTAGCAGATATTCTTCAAAACAAGCAATTATAGCACAATAATTAATACTAGAAAAGAAGTAAAAGCATAGTGCTTGAAAAATTAGATCACTTATAGATAGGGGACAGGAAAGATTTAAGAGGGAAAGAAAATTTGAGCTGAGCTGGTAAGAATGAGTCAGAGTCTCCCAGGGGCGTGGCAGGCGTTGGGCAGGAGGAGGGCGGCAAGTTGACGACGGACCACACGCCTGGGAAAGTGCAGAGTGTGCCCAGAGAACGGTGGTTAGTTGTGCGACATGGGGAGCACTGGGTCCCTGGGCTAGGTATTAAGGCCCCTGGAAACGAGGAAATATTTCCTTTGGCCTGTCGTGATTAGGGTAGGCTTCTCAGAGAAGGTGACAAAATCTGAATTTGAAGAATTAGTGGGGGGTCACAGGTAGATAAAAGGAGTATACATCAAAGGATTTTGGGCTACATATTAATTTGCCCCAAAGGACCATACAGTGAATGGGGCCACATCTAATTTCATATGGAAATTTCACATTTGAGAGGCAAGATTTCCTACCTGTTCAACAGAAATACACATTTCAAGAGTCTAACTCACTGTGGTTCTTCAAAGTACAGTACTGTTCATAGAATGTGGAATTGGTGTTTTTTAAAGAATACTTTTAAAGTAGAAATCACAATGGTCGTCTTTTGTGGTAAAGAAAGCCTTCAAGGCGGGATATGGGGCAGGGATTATAAACTTCGCCTCGGACTGGCTGCTGGGCAGGTATTTTTAAGCTTAAAGTCTCATATATAAAATCTCTTTCTAAGGAGAAAAATTGGAAGAGCAGTGTTCCTATGGCAACAGGAATTTATTTAGTCAGGGGCTATTATTTCCTCTATAAACATGGTTTTTGGTGGTCAATATCTGTAAACCAAAATTTCTTACTACCTCACATCAGCACTAATGTCCTTTGGGTATCACTGTGCTATAATGGATTTTTTTTTTTTTTTTGAGACAGACTCTCACTCTGTTGCCCAGGCTAGAGTGCCGAGGCGTCAGCCTAGCTCACAGCAACCTCAAACTCCTGGGCTCAAGCGATCCTCCTGCCTCAGCCTCCCAAGTAGCTGCGACTACAGGCATGCGCCACCATGCCCGGCTAATTTTTTCTTTTTCTATATTTTTAGTTGTCCGATTAATTTCTTTCTAATTTTAGTAGAGACGGGGTCTCGCTCTTGCTCAGGCTGGTTTCGAACTCCTGAGCTCGAACAATCCGCCTGCCTTGGCCTCCCAGAGTGCTAGGATTACAGGCGTGAGCCACCGCACCCGGCCTATAATGGATTTTATTACTCAGCCATAAAAAGTCCCTATATTTTAAAGTCTGTTAATCTATTCTTTCTTTCACTACCTTTTCCTTCCTTCCTTCCTATCTAGCTATCTCTCTCCTGTAACAGGCTTCAGATTAAGAAAAGATTCCCGAAGCTGCCACTTGACCTGTGGGTGTGTGTTCTGAACAGGTGTTCTAAGAACCAGCTGACGGAGCTACACCAGTACCTCCTACCACCCAAAAAGCTCCCAGATGGAAGTCCTGTTGGATTATCTTTGGGCCTCAAAGTAGAAAATCGGGCCAGATTATAGACCTCCAAAAGCAAAGCAATCAGTGAACTGATGTGATCCCAAGGTCTTTCATTATTTAAAACACCCTACTTCAAACTGTGTCAGAACATAGGAAAGACCCCACTTTTGCCTGGCTACAATTGCTCCCTGTCCCTGAACCAAAAACAACCATAAAACACAACTTCTTACCATTCCACTGGGGAATGCTATTGTAAAAGATCTTTTAGAAAGACTATTCTTATTCTTTGGAGAATCATATGTCTAACAAAGTTATAACTGCAAAAAGAATAAAAAAGAGCAGCTTCTGTGGCACAGAGTTATAAACAATTGTTTAATAGGAAACTGCTTTCTCTGACAACAAAGAGTGTTCTTTTAAACTCCATTTTTTATTATTTCTTTTGTTCTAAGCATTCTTTATTAGGTTATGTTAAAGAATTGATATATGGCTGGGCGCAGTGGCTCACGCCTGTAATCCCAGCACTCTGGGAGGCTGAGGCAGGAGGATCCCTTGAGCCCAGAAGTTGGAGGTTGCAGTGAGCTGTGATGATGCCACTGCACTGTAGCCAGGGGGACAGAGGAAGACTCTTGTCTCAAAGAAAAAAAAAAAAATTAGCTCCCAGATTTAATTTAATTCTAGCTACTCTCTTCCATATTTTATATTTGGACATTTATTTGTAACTAATGATAAAGTAATATCTGATTATACAAAATTTGGAAAGAATAAGAAAGATGCAGGCAAACATTCACACATAATTTTACCTCTTAGAGGCAACCTCTTTTTTTAAAAAATCAATTTAGTATATTTCATTCCACTTTTAATGCTTTTTCTTATGTAGTTGGCATAATTATGTACACACTCTTTTATATTATGTGTAATTTTCAGCAAAAACATCACATGTTGTAGAAACTTGATATAACCATTGTACTAAAGGCACCAAAGATTGCTTAATGGTTACCATAAATTTGGACATATATGTTTCCAATTTTTCACTGTTATAAATACTGCTTCACTATATATCTTTGTTCACAAATTTTTGTTCATGTTTTAGATTGAAAATTCATGGTCACATTAAATTCTTGTAAGTAGAATTATAGGATTTAAAGCGAATCTCTATGGAAGCTCTCTGGTTAATAATAACGAACGCCCCCTATCCTGCCACCGCCACCATCCTGAAAGTTTGCACCATTTATGTCCATGCCAGGGTGCAGGAAAGTAATTGCTGTTCTGCAGTGTCAGTGCCTCAGTGTTGTCAGCAGAGTTTATTTATTTAGACAAAAAAACTTTTGAATTTAATAGGGAAATGGCAATAACTAGTACATGCATTAATTCAAAATATTTTAACAAAGCACCAAATTGAATAGCTCCCAATCTTTTCACTGAGAACCCTTTCGAAAGAATGTTTAAAACTTAATCAGCTTATCCAGGTTTTTAATTAAGGAATCTAAGACCGCCAATCAGAATTTCTAATTACCATGAGATGACAGGTTAATGACTCTGAGTTCATATAACGTGAAGTCATATAATGTGAACTTTTAAAAGCTTTGCTTAACCTATACGTTCTAGGTCAGCAGAGTTTATATCCCAGCTGGCCTTCGAGGCAGAAATGCTCTTGCATTCAAATTTGCATATACTTAATCAGTAAACATGAAGATGCTTCTATTAGTTTAATTGTCATTTATATTTCCTCTTCTGCTAACAGTCAGTTCATGTCCTTTACCTGTTTTTCTACTGTTCAATCTTATCCCCTCACTATAAAACATTAACTTTGGACACATGTCTTATAAATATTTTTCTAAGCTTCCTTGTCTCAATTTTATTTTTGGCTTTTTAATTAAAGTAGTATACAGGTTTTATCTACTTAGGTAGAAAAATCATTTCATTTTATTCATTTATGATTACTTCTTTAGCTTTTAAACTTAGAAAGATCTGCTGGGTGTGGTGTCTCATGCTTGTAATCCTAGTACTTTGAGAGACTGAGGCAAGAGACTTTGAGACTGATCCGAGCATCACAATGAAACCCTCATCTCTGTAAAAAATAGAAGAATTATCCAGGTGTGGTGGCACGTGCCTGTAGTCCCAGCTACTTGGGAGGCTGAGGCAGGAGGATCGTGTGAGTCTAGGAGTTTGAGGTTACAGTGAGCAGCCTGGACAACGGAGTGAGACCTGCCTGGAAAAAAAAAAAAAAAGTGAATCTTAGACCCCTGCAGAAGGAACACTAGTTCACAGCCACATTATAAGTTCTGGATTGACTCCACCTACCTCAGAAGACCTGACCTCTATGCAGGATAATGCTTTTCTAGGTTGACTTTTTTGGAAGTCCACTAAGGGAAGGATGAATTGGGGATAACTTTAAT